GTCACGAACTCAGTATTACAGTCTTGCAATTGAAGTTTTTGTCTCTCGTTCCCTCCCTGATTCGCTACCACGTGGTTTCGCAAGAACTTCAAACTCGTAATCATCTTTAGTGATATTTGTGACATGAGCCGCATTGCTTTGCGTGTTGGGTGTTCCTGCGTGGAAGAATGTCACAGCCTTTTCTGCAACCGATGTTGTGCGATCAAGGTTGAGTATTAAAAAGCTAATTACAGTGTCGCAATTACGCACTGACACCACAATATCCTGCTTAATTGATGCTAATTTTTGAATCTTCTCTGATGCTTTGCTTATCTTCTTAGTCTGTAAATTTCAGACCGCACAACAAGTTCTGCAAATGCCAATTGTTGCAAGGTCACCCCGACCCCTCCATCATCTCTTCACATTTGAAAAACTTCTCTATCGCTGTCTTGAATGCTTTTGCACCCCACGGATCATTACCCAGTTGTCTCCATGACTTGTTTGTCTCCATCTCTGCTTGTAAGTTCTTGCGCACTTCCTGTTGGTGGTCCATTTCTGCACATCGCAAGATTGGTAGCCCTTTCTTCGCCCAGAACCAGTGTTTCAACTGTCATGTTATCTCTCCTCTCACCGTTGTCATGACTCTGTTACATTCCACCAGCACTGACCGCACTCCTGTACTATTCACATACATACTGAGTCCCTCCTTCACATTTCTCCCTAACATGTTTGCTGCTGATTGCAGAGATACGAAGAAGTCATCCTCCGAGGGGTACATTGTTGCATCCTTCGCCGCAGTGAATGCATACGCCTTTGCGATTGAACGAAATAATCTATCCTTTGCTTTCTTAGGAAAATGTATATTACCTTTGTCGCTTGTCTGCTTGTGGTGTCCTCTCTTTCTCTATATGTTTGACGGTTCCTCGACAATGTCGCCTCCTTGTAAGAGACAACGGACAGACGTAAAAAGACAGCAAACAACGTACATGCCCAGACAACACACGATTTTGTTAATAGTTTTGTAATATTTCTTAACTCTCTTTGTGCATCATTAAAAGGACGACATATACGAGGTCTGAGGTTGTGAACTACTGTTTTAAATAATGCACTTACGTTGTTGCGACGACGACTCCTTGCGCACCGACTGCTTGTTCATCTCAACTTTTTCTCCTTCCCCTCATCCAAGTGTTCCTTTATTTTCACGTTTTCTCTTCAAATTACTCCGTGATATCTGGCTGTCCTTGTCATTGTTACAGTATGAAGTTTCCTCTTCTTCATCATTGTTCGCGTCACTGCTTACACTGTCGCTTTCCTGCAGTGCGCCACTCCCCTCTTCTTCTTTTGAATTCCCTGTGGTCTCTGATTCACTGTCACCGCCATCGTCGTCTGTTTTCGCATTTTCCTCCCTTTCAGAATGAGAGACATCCTCCATGGACCGCTGCGACAGGTTGTCTTCCGCTCTTGTGCTGCTTTCAACAATATCCGGCCCCCTCAAATCAATTGTTTCGATGTCTTTGTGAACTTTATTTACGCTTCGCTTCTTCTTTCATTGTGTTCCTTCGTTACGAGCACATGCAAGTCCTTGATCTGTGAAAGACTTTTTCTTTGGCGTTTTGGGTGGCTTGCTCTCGCTCCTTGCATGACCCTTTTTCGACTTTGGCGTCACAAGAGATGATTCCTCCCGTCCTTTCGATCTCTCTGTGTCCGTCCTTGTTGCAGGCATGGTAACCAATGCACGCTCCCTGCAGATCTCATTCTCCAATCGTCTCTTTGATTTCTCGTTCCCGCTTCGTCTGTGTCTCCGCTTTGCTATCTTTGAGTCGGACTTTGATAACTTTCTCATGCCTGATTTTTTCTCATGACGCTTGACGGATCTGCTTAGATCCAAGTAACACTGTACCCGTATTTTTTCTCACGCCTTGATGGAAACACGTGCAAGGACAACCAGGAATCGTCAATGTTCCAACAGTCCTGCATGCATCCAACAAATGGAAACCAGTGACCAGAGTTCAACCTTGCCACCATGGTCGCTTTGCCATCTACTATGGCTGGATGCAAGACGCCTGGAATCCACTTAACACTGTACCCGTATTTGTGAGACGACACGTGTTCCTGCAGTTTGCTCAAATCGATGACACTGTCTGCGATGTCATGTTCCGACCGCAACACCTGCATTGTCACCATTGGATCCCATATGTTGTAGCATTGTATGTAGCTTGTGTTTCCATAGACAACTCGTACCTCACGCTCGCAGCCCCTCTGAAAACTTTGTCCTCCGACAACTCCATGCGCAAAGGGTGGGCAAGTGGTGGACAAAAGTCACCAGCATTATGACCATCATGTGTCATAGCATCCCTCTCCTGTGCAGACACCTCTCTGTCAAAAAATCGACATCTGAAGTTGCCATTGATGTACGTAGTCTTCCAACAATTTCCCATGAGATCACGCACAAGAATCTTACAATGACCATAACGAAAAGGAATCTGTGACGGCACCCACCCCCATTGCACATCCCTTCTAGGATCGTTGACATCAGACACGACATTCATTTTTCCTGTGTCCTCTTCCATCACCAATGACTCACGGCAAACCACACCATCATACAAGAAATCATTGAGCCGTAAATCATCCGCCTCCCAGACGTTTATTCCACATGTCGAGAGAATGACGTGAGACATCTGACAGCGTTGCACTGTCATTAAGCCTGATCAACCTGTCCAAAACTATTGCCGCAGTGACATTGTGTCATGTCATCTCCGTGAGTGGTTGATAAGGAATCCAACTTCCTCCACATTTGAAGGCTAAGCAGTGCTCACCTCCAATGATGTCAGGTTGTATAAAGTCAGGTTCCCAATTGATAGCATACTGGAAATATTCCCCGACATTCGTCCTTCGAACATTCTCGTTAGGCACAATGCATAACATACGGGAGTGCGATGTCCCGACATCTTGCCTGTTCGCCACTTCTTTACCAGTCACGGTTGTGCTATGGCTGTTGCGGCCTCTCCCAAGTTCATCATTATCTCTCATCACCATCTCTTCTGTCCCAACATCCAGTGTCGCCCCTACGCCACACTCCGTCTCCATCCCCCCTTCTTGTGCATTCGTGTGTGTCTGTTGTGTCATTGTCACATCAGCTCCCGCCATGGCTTCCACCATGTCTTCGGTTCCGATGCCGATGGTCTCGCCGACTGCCGCGGTTGAAGCATTTAATCCATCCATCTAATCCACGAGACATGACATGTTTTGTGAGAAATCATTGTTGCGAAAATT